GAGCATCCGGGGGCGGGACAAAGCCCAGCATTTATCCAATGACTCGTCTCGTTTCGCTGTATTTTTTTTTTTTTTTTTTGCTTCACTATTGAAGTCTGTGGACGCTCAGCGTCCGACTGTTTAAAGCTCTGTGAAGCTGCAGGAATGAGGGACAGGAAAGCTGCGTTGTTAAGAAGCTGATTCTGAACAAAAGTTGAGTACGTTATAGCGCATATTTACCGTATTTTTCGGACTATAAGCCGCACCGGACTACAAGCCGCACCCACCATTTAAAAAAAAAAAAACCTGTGAACATTAACATATAAGCCACACCGGACTATAACCCGCACCCCCAACATAAAAAAAACAGTACACCCAAATTTTGCAGTCAAAAAAGTGAATTCAACATCAAAACATAAAAAGCAAACCTTTAGGAATTAAAGTTCGGAGGAATACGGTTCATTTAACTGACCTTATTTTGGTAGTGTTCTTTAACAGTTTCTGGTCCAACAAAACATCTCATTCATCTTCCTCCGGCGCACTGAAACCATCGAAGTCCTCTTCAGTGTCGGAGTTAAACAAGCTGAGAAAAGCTGCGTCACACAGCGGTATCTGTTCAGTGTTGCTTTCTGTGTCGCTGTCCTCCCGGGATAATGCTGGCTCTGAAGCTGTGGTGGGAAAGCCCTCCCGCTCCAGCATACGTCATTGCATGGGATTCCTTCCCCGGGGAGTGCAATGGGGGAAAAAAAAGTCTGCGGCTCTTCACTCGACGTTTATCCACAAACTGGTCCTGGAGGTTTTTATCAGTCAGATTCCACTGTGAAAAATGTCTGTTTTATCCGCTTTTATGAGTTTTTGGCCATTGACTATCTTTAAATCGCTGCTTCCTGGTACAACAGTCAGCTCTGGAAGCGATCGAATTTTTTCTTTTTTTTTTCCTTTCTTTTTTTTGAAGCGAGTGGTTGAAGCAAATGGAGCATAAGAGCCCCCTGGTGGCCGAAGAAAAAAATCCACGTATAAGCCGCACTGGTCTAAAAGCATGGTTCAAAGTTCAGGAAAAAAGTTGCGGCTTATAGTCCAAAAAATACGGTAGTCAATGACATGAACACACAACAGTGTATATTTGATCACATATTTTTTTACATTTTAGGGGAAGCTGAGCTTCCCTTGCGGTCTTAGAGCAATCACATCTGAGTCTCGCGTAATTACATAATTACAAGTTCTGGGACATGCGCATGCGCGGAACGTTTCAAAACAAGGAAAGAGAAACTCAGCTGGTCCCGTCTTCGGTAAAGGCAATATGGACTCATTTTGTTTTTTTTATTGAATGCCGGGGACGACCGAACTTGACATGAGCTTCATAGTGTGCAAAGTTTGCAAAATGAAGATCAAATACTTCGGGAACATAAGAAATGCGCGTGCTCTCATAATCAGGCATCACCCAGAGTTAAAATATTCGGAGCAGAGTCAGCCACCAGCAGCCGACCAACACACACTGCAGTCCTTCACCAAACTGTCCGCCATTTCCGAGCAGGCAAAAAAAAAAAAAAAAAAAACCAGTCTATCGCCTGCTTCATCGTCATAGACTTATGGCCTCACAGTGTGGTGGACAACAAGGGTTTTATAAACATGTTGCAGACAGTGGAGCAGAGGTACGCCTGAGACAGCTGCGCCACAGCTTTACCAAGAAACTAAAAAGCGAATTTTAAAGAAAATTTTTGAAGCAGCTAGTTTACTGGTGCTATTTTTCAGTTAAAAAAAGTTTTATTTTCACTTGTTATTCTTAAATCTATTGAAAAATATTATCTTTCATTTGTGCAAAAGTAGTGTTCCATGTTGTATTTTTGGTACTGCAACTTTCCTGTGGATAGAAAAGTACTTGTTGTTCAACTGCAGCATTTATTTTTAGTTTAATAGTTTATTCATTTCGATTAAAAACAAAAATTTCAGTACAACAATTTTGTGGACTTGGAGTAGGCGTTCGACCGTGTCCCAAGGGAGGCCCTGTGGGGGTGTTCTCCGGGAGTATGGGGTACCGGGCCCTTTGATACGTGCTGTCAGGTCCTTGTACGACCGGTGTCAGAGTCTGGTCCACATTGCCGGCAGTAAGTCYGYCTRGTTTCCGGTGAGAGTTGGACTCCACCAAGGCTGCCCTTTGTCACCGATTCTGTTCATAACTTTCATGGACAGAATTTCTA